CCAGAAGAGGGAGAGTTGTAGGTGAACAATCCTACTTGAAATATTTCACTGTTAAATCCCCCACCCTCATTCAACAACTGGCTTAGACATGGAGTCTCTTCTTCAGGACCACTCTGAGCCAAGCACACAGCTCTCTGTGAGTTCCACGAACCCATGGTCCTGGTGGCTGACTGTTTACCTAGGGCTAAAGAGGACCTTGTTACTGGAAATCAGGCACGGAAGGCAGGAGGAAAGAGAAAGTAAGGGAGAAGCATCACTACGTCCGCCGCACGCCCACCCTCACTCAGCACACAGCTTGTAACTTTTCTCAAGCACAGAAAGGGCATTTGAGAGGCAAATAATCTTCCCCAGAGGCCAGAAAGAGACCATCCTATCACCCTGCTGAGCCAAAGGAAAGAAAAAAGCCCACTGTGTTTTAGTCAGCTTGGAGAATGTAAAAACTGTGTCCTGATAACTCTGGAATTGTATAGGTTTTGCTGGAGTGCCTTGGGAGCTGAAACTTTACAGAGCAAACACCCCTGGGAGAGAATGGCCTGCATCGTTCTGAAAAAATTTCATTATTTCATGGAACAAGGTCTAGCTTGAAGTTTACCATCACCAAAAGATGCCTCAGCTATACCTGTCACCTTTTTTCAGTGAAAGATCACTAAGATAAAGCTTTCTTAAAAATTTTCTAGGGGCTCAATAGTTTTCTTCCTGAACAGTTTCAAGGTGAACCAAGAGATTAAAAACAGTCCATAACATATAATTCCTCTTAGTTAAGACATTAGTTACATAATACTCCTGGATGTGCACTTCCAGGGCATCTCTCACTCAAGAATTTCCATATTCTTTCCAAAGTTAACATTTTGATGGATAAAAATAAAATGGAAAAGTCCAAATCGGGAGGTGGAGACATGAAATCAGTAGACATGAAATTGATCATATCTACCTGTGTGACCTCGGACAAGTCACTCTGCATCTCTAAGTCTCAGCTTCATAATCTGTAAAAAGGAGAGGTCAGATACCTTCCAGTTTTAACGTTCTAATTTTGTTGGGAAATGTGTGGTACAGCTAATACTCCACCCTTCTCCGAAGGAGGCCTATGCTATTTAATTATAGTAGATCTTGGCATTTGCATATTTGACATCTGTGGCTCTGACTATTCCCAGAGACCCCAAAGGTCGATGAGCCACAATAATCTTATTTTGCAGAGGAGTGCTGTGAGTGCAGGAGCCAGTCACATGTTTACTGGGTGAGGCGTATGTGCCGGCAAGCCCCGGTATCTCGGTGAGGTTTCGTTATTATCGGTGGTGGGCTCTGAGGCCAGAGTGCCCGTGATGTGCTGCAGTGGTAGCCACAAGGGCGGGGATTCTTCTAGATCACGAAGATGCCAACAGCATCCCTCTCAAATGTCCCGAGTTCACTGTAACCTGGGTTTAAAGTAAGCATGTACCCATCCCCACTTCATCTGCTTCACTTCTGTATCGTCAGCAAAGGTCCCACACACAGCGAGGAGCTTGCATTCCCCTTTCATTGAACTTAACCACATCACTTGTCCCATGTGTTCTGACTTGCCTTTATACCCTGTACCCTCTCCACCGGAGAATGAGGTCCTTGAGAGCTGAAATGCCAGCCTG